TGAGTTCCTGAAAGTACGGTAAGATTACGTACAAGAGTTTCCGTTTGGAAATTATGGTCTCATGGGAACACCTTGTCATTTGCTCGTAGTTTTTTTTTTGTATTTCTATACACCAAACAGGTTAATACAGAAAATCATAATATTAATATTCGAAAAGGAAATACTCAGTATGAATTTTATTGTAATGTGTTTTACCGTGGAATTAATATGTTTTCCCGCTATAAAATATATTTAATGCCGCTATCCACATCTCTACTTCGATATAAAAAAAACATCAATCAGTTCGACGTGAAAGAAGTTTGTTTTAGCGGCATTAAGAGAAATAAAACAAAGGGTTTCATCGTGCCTCATTTTCGCCACAGAATTAAATAATGAAAAAAATTATGCCATACGATTTGACCTTTTTATTACATATTCTGAAAGTAGATTGTTACCTGGTAAGAAAATATATTTATGATAGAAAAAAAACTACAATAAATACTACTTGCAAGACGCCAAATTTTTGGTCTAACTGGGGTTTTCGTTCCAAATGAGACATTGTCAGTTTCATTTCAACTTTCCAACCGACTTCAAATATTTTCGAAGTCCGTGCGAGCCGATACAAATCAATGCACACAGACTTAGAAAATATCTGATTAGATATCTATAGTAAATGAAAACTACCAATCAGATATTTTTTATTTTTTAGTGTTTTTTTTATGTAGAGAAGAAGCATATATGAAACACTTTATTTTATTTTAATGTTCTCTACATATATAACTCTACAATATATTTAAAAATCACAGTGCTTCCATCCTGTTCATTATTCTGGGACAAAAATTAAGCCTCGATACCTTCTTTTGTAAATAAAATAGGGGCATACTTTTTTAACCGCCTTGCAAATGTATTTAAATTAATTTGAATAATATACATATACATTTTACGTATAATAAAAAAATATGCAAATCGTATGTGATAATCATATAGTTCTTTTTTATATGAAAACAAACGCAATTACAATATTTAAATCGTAGTCCAATTTGTGCGTATTATATAATTCTTATTCTAATCTAATTATATAATAAATTTACAATTTATAAAAATATTATCTACATGGCATAGAGAAATCATACCTTTTGCTTTGTTATTAAAAATACACTTTGTCAATCAAAGGTTTTTTTTGTAACAGTATATTAATTTTTAAGTAAGAATATATCAATTCCATTTGCTAAATTATTTATTAATTATACAGAGTATTAAGTGTTTCGTAAAATATAGGGAATAAACTTACATAATATATAACTTTTTGCCACAAAAAATGGAACGAACAAACAAAAAATATGTAAATTTTATTAAAAAAAAAAACAGACTAAAAGAATAAAAAGTCATAGAAGAAACGCTTAACGAATCTCAGCCTACTAAAATCTCTCATTTCTCCACACTTCGTTACTATTCACAGTATGTATTGTATATTCCCGTACTAAAAACACCACCACGCTTATACTTACATGATATTATTGCTTACGATTGTACAGGCAGGTACAGTAGAATAAGTACACCATGTTATGTATTATATGGTAAAGATCTGCTATTTACAATAAATGTATCATTGGACGAAACATTTATTAGGCCAATGACCTTTTAACTTGAACTTTACAATATTTTAATATTCTAAAGTAAACAATATGGCAACAAAATCTGTTAAAGTGCGAAAAAATTAATTCTTAATTTTAAATAAAACTATATTATCGGATTTTTTACGGATTTATTTTCGATTTTTTTTTAATTGACGGTTTCGAAAAGATAATTTTATTTAAAATGTCAAATATTCGCGTAAATAAATCTAAGAAATTATTATATTATTTTTTTATTTTTAAATATTATAATCTGTGCAAAATATATTCAAAACAAAGCCTCGTTACTCCGGACGGTAGTATAATTAAATGGTAATGTATAAAAATTAATGTTCTTTGTTCCGGCCATGGCGTATCAAAATGTTGGTTATGAAACCGTCACTTTCGTTTTTAATTCGGTTACTATTATTTGGTGAATATAACACTTTTGTTACGTCAGTATCATGAAGAATATAGACAAGGGGGTCAATCTCCATAAGGTTTTATAGGAGAAATTCGTCCGCAAATTTTTTTACAGCTATAGTTCCAAAAGCTGCCACGAGTAACGCTGATTTACGTAGTTACCAAGTGAATTAGTTAGCTGCATGTCAGGCATGAAGTTAGTGATAAAAAAATCAGTGTGTATTTAATTTATTGAAAAATGAATTTACGCTATAATAAATATGTATCTTTCTTTAATACTTAGTTTTTTGAACAGCTTGATTACATACAATAATTTTTTTTTAATTCCTTGATATACATTTGAATATACCGGGAATTTCTTCCTCTCTCTTGGGACAGGGCTCTGCGCGCCCACAATTATTTTTTTTAATTTTGTGACAACTTTTACAAACCGAGATTGGTCTCCTGGTCTATATTGTTCAGGGTCAGTATAATTATTCATATGTTATTTATAGGTCGTTCGTATAGTATTATAGTGGCATAAATCGAAATTATTAGATCTCATATTTAAGTGTATGTCTGTATATTCCGTGAATATAATTATTTTAAACGAATTTATGCAAATATAAAAATATACTTACTAAACTAAAACCTTTTTTTTACAAAACTTACTAACTTTGGAATTTTTATCTAATGATACCAAATTCATCTTTTTGTGCAGACTATAAAGTTCGCACTACGTAATAAATAAAGCAAGCTTCTCAAAGTTCTAGATAGTTCTCACATTTCAAAGAACGTTTAAAATGTGAAATAATAAAACCTAAGCTCGGTGAGATATATTGAGTATTTTGTCATATAAATCTGAGTTCAAGTTCATACTAACAAACATGTTAGAACTAGACCTTCACATAAATAATGACCAATTCTTTATTTAATTCAAAAAACTTTAATTAATTTACTTATATTTTACCTTTTATTGCACTAAACATAGCTCGTTGATAATGTACTAATGTTGAAAATATTATTGAATGTTTACAAAATAATCAATAATCAAGTTATATTTATCAAAAATAATATAATATTTGGTTAAAAAATATTTTTTACATATATATATTAAATAAATATAAGAAATATAATGACTAGTTCGTATAATTAGATATACTAAAATATAGCACAAAAAAAACAGTATACGTCTTTATAATAATATATACAAAAAATAGCAGATCAACATCTACATATATTGTACAAATATTCGAACGTCTGACCTATTGCGTATTGGACAAAGCCAATCAAATGCATAGAACATTATCCCACGAGAGCAATTAAGTTTACAGTTTCCGACCTTTCGTTTATAAATAATTCCAAAATCTATAAACAACAGATTAAGATTTCTTTTTAGAACAATTTTTTTTAAATTATTATACAAAAAATAATAAAAAAATTGATTACGGGTATTATAACAATTCATTATTAATTAGATAAAAATGATATGAAGTAATTGAGAAATTGTTTTTATAATTACATATAATTCTCATGATGTAATTGTATTGTATTCAACCCTTTTCTTAACGTCCCACTGCTGGGGGTGGGCCTCCCTTCAGTACGAGGGATCAGGTCATAGTCCACCACGCCTGGCCAAGTGCGAGTTGACGGACTGCACATGTCTTTCGAAAACTTGCTAGGTTCTCTCAGACATACAGGTTTTCTCACGATGTTTTCTTTCACCGTAAAACAAGGGGTAATCATGTTGAAAACGATTCGCACATGAGAATATCAAAGCAAGAGCCGGAATTTGTACCCGCTTCACTCGATTTTCAAAGCGATCGCGTTACCACTGGGGTTACCACTGAATATTATATATTTTTACCATTTGAAAAACATAGCAATAACAATATATATTATCATTATTGATGATATTACAATAACTTACGTATCAATATGTCTTCCAGATATTATTTGACAAAACCTAGTGCATACGAAAATCGTGAGCAACTATTGTCATCAGTGCCAGATTCAACATTCATTTTGTGGAAAAAAAATATTTTTAAAAGAAAAAAATTTTCCCACCCTCCGAATTTTACCACCCCTAAAAATTTGCCGTCCTGGGCACCCCGAGTCGCATTAGTGTAAATCCAGCGCTGATTGTCATACATATCAATTAAATATATTTGACCTATATATCAAATATCATTACAATGTTCAAAATTTAACCCTTAACCTAACTACATCTACGAAATTATCACATTTTATATTTAGCGCTTCTATTTAGCGTCTAATAATAAATATTCGATTTGAGCCTTCGATATTTTTTGCGATCGGAACACGTACAAACCCTGTGTTCGACCAAATTTAGGGTTCCGTAGGAAAGGAACTTGTATTAGCTGGTGTTGCCAGGTTCGGCGAAAGTTTATTTCTTAAAAGCAATCTATATGCTTCTATTCGGCTTGTATTTAGATAAGTCGGAATAAGACACGATATCATCGATATTTAAGTTTGTTTTATTTGAAAAACTGCTATAATAATCACTTCCATAAATTAATTTAATTTTTAAAAAGAAAAAAGAATCTAGCAACACCACTACCAGAGATAGTAGAGATACCACAAGCAATTCGTTTAAGAAAAAACAAAATTGTATAGCAATTCAACGAAACTCCCTTCATATAACTAGCGTATACTTCAAAGGTAAGATAAATTGACAAACAAATCTACGTTAAGAATCGATAATAATATCAATATAAAGAACACAAATAGGAAGTTCAATTCAATAGTAAAACTATTTCTATTGTCAGTCAAATTATTTATGCGCAAATATCTACAAAACGTCATAACTAGGTAAAAAATAATTAAATTGGTATAATATAAAATAATATCATTTACATTATAAAACATATATGAATAGGAATTAGGAAACTTTAAGTCAAACTGAACACTTTTAAAACCAAGTAGTTATTGTGCATATTGTTCATCTCTGAAGTCCCACCAACATACATACATTTATATATGTTACATAAGTTGACCCAACATGGCGTTTCTCATTATAATATGTATAGTTGATAAAAATAAGCCAGCGGAGAAACTAGTATACGGTAACTTGAGCTGCGCAGCTAAAGATGCGCATCTAAAAAAAAGACCGCCATTTTGAACCAACTTAACACCTCTAGGTACATTTCTAAGAAATTAATGAAATATATAAGAAATCTATTGTCAACTGTAACGCCGGCGTGTCCGCGGTCGTGGAGGGATTATGTGACTTAAATCATAACGTTTATGAATTAACTTCAGGGTGAATCTTAGAGGTGTTTTTTTTTTGTTGGTTATTCGTTATACCTTTGAGACTTCAGCGATTCTTCATAATGAGTGTCGACTCGATATCCGTTTTCCTGTTTTTAAAGAAAAAAAAAGATCAGCACTTACATATTACATTAATTTACATTTGACGACACGCTTGACTCAGTTTGTAGTGCTTGCTGTGCCAAAGGTCGCGGATTCGAGTCCCGCCGGGGGCGTTCATTTGTGTAATAAGCACGAATGTTTGTATTCCAGCCATTTATAATATGTATATAGAGGCGTTTCACGCCAAATCGGGCGGTTTCAAAAATTTTTATTTTTTATTTTCTTACGTACTTGAGTGCGTAAGCAATCCTGCGACGCCCCATTAAGAGGAAGGTTCGGTTAGGTTTTAGTGGGTAGTACTGGCTTTTTAACTGGTGAGTCTGACATACAGGTATGCATAGATGCATTTACCAACATTAAAAAAAGGTGACAATAAAATATGCCGTCTCACCGGCCGCCTCACAAGGCGTGAGCTCACACGCTGTGCACGCCGTGCATGGCGAGGAAGGCGTGCAGGTCGCGCGGCACCTGGTCGGGCGCGTAGGCGGCGCCGTGCCGCGCCAGCGCCGCCGCCGCCAGGCAGCACAGCCGCGGGCTCAGCGCGGACCGCACCAGCGCCTCCGCTGGGCCTGACGTGTGCATGTTAAATTAAACTATCTAATTAGATTTTTCACGGATTCATTTTGATTTTTGGTTTCCAACGTTTCGAATGCATTACAGAGAGAGTTTTTAGAGAGACTTTCCTCCGTGATAATTGTTTGATACATATAATGGCATTTTTTAAAATTTACATATTTCGATTAAATTTTTCTTTTGTCTTAATAAGACCCTACATATACAAAGTAATTATGTCATCCTTAGAAATTAATACATATTTTTTAATATTTATTACAATTTAATTATTATTGTGTATAGCCCTTTTTAAAGTTCCATTGCTGAGCACGACCCTCCCAACACAAGGGGAATCAGGCCATACACTGTAGACCACGATGCCGTATGCGGGGCGGACGTCATATGACTTTCGAAAGCTTGCTACGTTCTCAGACATGCGGATTTCTTCAAGATGTTTTCCTTAACCGTAAAACAGGTGGTAATCATGTTGGTAATAATTATTCATGAAAATATCAGACTTGCGAAACCCGAGATTTGAACCCGCTTCACTCGATTTCCGAAGCGAGTACATTACCACTGGGCCACAACTACCTTACAAGTTAACATAATTATTAAAAAAGAATAATAATAACCATAGTTTCGTAATTACCTCCAATAGCTGCGACGAGGGGGGTGATGCCGGCCGCGTCCACCGCGTCTACGTGCGCGCCGCGCGACAACAGCTCGCACACGCACCCGCACACCGCTTCACGTAATAACTCACGTTCATCTACACAAAATATGTACATTATTTTGTTAGAAATAAAATACTAACGCGTTATACTTTGCTAAATTTACGCGATTATTTGACATTTCAAAGGGAGAGTCTCTCCCGTGACCGTAGTTGCTGTAAAACATTCGAAACGTCGGGAACCAAAAATCAAAATAAATCCGCGAAAAAGTCCGAAAAGATAAGTTTTATTTAAAATACTACGCGTTGTTAACACTAGTGTATTTAACTCAATTTGAACTCTAATGACACGACCTTTAATCCCATTAATCTATACTAATAATAATATCTATACTAATATATACAGAGGTAAAGCTTGTGAGATTGTGAGTTTGTGACGTTTTAGGGGGTAATCTCTGGATCTACAGAACCGATTTAGATGAAATTTGGTAAGAAGATAGTTTAAGACCTCGGGAAAGACATAGGACTTTTATCCCGCAAATCCCTAAGGGGATCAAAAATGGAATGAACGTTTGTATGGGGAATCAACGTAAGGACGAGCCCGAGCGAAGCGAGTGTGCGTCGCTAGTTATTAATAAAATGCATACTAATATTATAAATGTGAAAGTTTGTGAGGATGATTGGATGTATGTTTGTTACTTTTTCATGCCAGGACGGCTTAACGAATCTGGGTGAAATTTGGCATAGAGATAGATTATAGTTTGGAATAACACACAGATTACTTTTTATACCGGAAAAATGTAAGATTCCCCCGGGATAGATTTGCTTTTGCCTAAGGACGAACCCGAACCAAAGCGAGGGTTAGTCACTAATATTATAAATGTGATGTTTGTTACTCAATTACACCAAAAGAGCTGAACGAATCTGAATGAATTTTGACACAGAGATAGATAATAATCTGGAATAGCACGTTACTTTTTATGCTGAAAAACTGTACGATTCCCATGGATAGATTTGTTTTTTGTATATATTTTTTTATTACAATTGTCTGAAAAAGGGTGGGTGAGTGAGGGTAAGCCAACAGTAGTAGCAGTAATGCCATACCTGGTATAAGTTGGTAGGATATCAAAGCGACGTGTAGGGGAGTGCGGCGTGAGTCGTCCGACGCGTCCACTTCCACGCCACACTCTAGCAGCAACCGCGACGTCCTCATACACGGAAATCTGTATACAATTATACATATAAGACCCAATGGATTCAAGTTAAATTTGGAATAGCTTATATCCTGAATTATTTACTAAATTCTTTATACGTTCTGTTATATGTATATAAAAAAAAATGTATGTTTGTTACTCCTAAACGCTAAAACTTTTATTTAGATTTAGATGAAATGAAATATAACGCACTCGAACGAGCAACAGAGAGGTAAATGTCACTAATTGTTACCTAAAAGAAGTGTACAACAAATTTTGACTGACAAATAGGCAGTGGTATCGCAGTGGCAGCGCGCTCGCTTGTGAGATCGAGTGAAGCGGGTTCAAATCTCGGGTCTTACGCCTCTAACATTTTCAAGTGCGAATCATTTCCAACGTGATTACCACTTCACCACCAATTATTACTGTAAAGGAAAACATCAAACATAGCAAGTTTTCGAAAGACATGCTCAGTCCGCCCGCACTAGGAAGGGAGGCCCGTGCCCAGCAGTGGGACGTTAAAAAGGGGCTGAATACTTACTGACAAACATCGCTAGTGTGGAAGTCGTCGACCGGCGTTCTTCTATCCACGGCCAAGTGCAGCAGCGTCTGCCCCGAACGCAATCGCGCATTACGCAGGCGGAATATAGCGCGACGCACCGCACTTGTTGTCTCCTGTTAATAATAATAATTGTATAACAGCAATTATAACACCAAATAGAAAAGTTTAACAATTTTATTGCCCGGTAATACTTTTTACAGTGATATTAGACATGACAGTGTTTTAGAGAAAAGTAAAAATAGGCACAAAACCGTCACAGATTAACAAAAAGAAACTTGTAAAGGAATTTGGAAGTGTGTTCATTCATAAAACTACAATGAAATATTTGATGTTTACTATTTCATCAATAATAATAATTTATTTATTTTTTCCCCCACATGTACAATAGAATTTTACATTAATAATAAACAATATAACTATATTGTCTACATAAATGAGAAACAGGAGATCAAACAAGGTCAGCTCTGTAATTTGAATCTCCTGGCATGTTGGATACATGTATATAATTTATAAAATATAGATCCGGCTCGAAAGACCAATTCGTTTTGTAGTAAAAAGTAAATAAAAAAAAACATTTTGATAAAATATGTATTTATCAGAGTTTAAAAACCGTATTGTTTCAACACTAATTGTAACTATGGCATTAATTAAAATTAAAAAAAAATATGTAAATAATTCTAATTTTTAAAAACACACAGCTCCAATCATGAAAAACAAAAGCTATAAAATACTATTTAAAATCTATCCTTATAATAAGCTAATGTTTATTTTACAGTCCATTTAGATATATACAGTATATATTCTACACTTACTTCATCATTACCAGAATTTTCTAGAAGTCTCGCCGCCACCGCCACTAAATATAACGCTGTTCGTACATTACTCTCATATTCTTCCTGAAATACATACCACTAATATAATCAATCGACAAATATCTTTTTAGTCACTATTTTTTAAACTTAAGCGAGAAAACCTCTGTATGCCAAAATGTCTAATTTAAACTATTTTATGCAATGGGATGGTCCCATTTTTTTTATTTAGTTTAGATATATTTCTGTATAATATTTCACAGATTTACGCGAACATTTGTTATTTTAAATAAAACTATCTTTCGTATCGTTTCGGGGATTTATTTATATTTTCGGTTCGGGGAACCAAATATCTATATAAATCCGCGAAATAATCCGAAATTATAGTTTTATTTCTACTTTTATATTTTAAGGGACAAAGGTTTATCAGATCACTTGATTGTAAATAGTGACTGCCGCCCATGTACGTATTTGCCATAGACTGAGTTACAACCACTGACATTACAATTACGACCGACAGTAGCTTACTCGTTAAGGTATTGATTTCTTTGAAATGCTCTAACGAAAAACAAATAATATTATATTTTCAGAACAAGTAATATTATAGATTCAGAAATCTATATAAATAAAAATAAGTGTTCGTATGTTTGTCCTCTATGCTTTCCTAAGCAATTGCTCCGATTGTGATGAAACTGGTGGTGGGGATTATTCTGTATACACCTGCGAAGGCGAAGGCGTTCCTAAACCATCTTAGGGACGCACCCGAGCGCAGCAAAGGTAAATCGCTAGCATTTTATACAAAAAGGTGTAATTTACACCATAAATTATTAACTTGACTCGAAAAATAACATCTTATACATCCGACAGAGCAAATAAATTTGAAAACTTCATAAAATGTATAGTATATTTGTAATGTTTCAAAACTATATATATATATACATATATATACATATATTATTTATATAATATAATCAAAGCAAAACTCACAGTCAAAGCGTCTAGGTCGTGGTTGACCTGTGGTTTTTCTAGCCTTTTTGTGCCTCGCCTCAATTCCTCTGCGCATGCTTCCAATACGTAACAAACCTAAAGAAAAACCTTTCTTAACATACATGACACATTCAATAAACTTATATTTTGGAAATTAACAATTTGCTCTCTTACCTGTGACAGTGGTAATTCTATTCCGATATGTATCATCTGTGAGAAAACTTGTGCAAATCTGAGTAGGTCCTTTACAACTGACACCTGTAAAACATATTTTTTTTAGTTTGATATGATATTTTACGGCATTTTATAATAGTTTTTAGTGTAAGTAATCACAGAATGCTTAATGTTCTTTTTTAAATTTACATAAATATCTGACACTTTAAATAAAATTATCTTTTCGAATATTTCGCGGATTTATTATAATTTTTGGTCCCCGACGTTTCGAATGCTACAACAATGTGTGTCTGAAAAAAATAAAGCCGGGTGTCTGGAAGTTACCGAAAAGGTAAGATTAAAGGGGAGGTTAGGAAACCAAAAATCAAAATAAATCCGAAAAACCATAAATAATAAACGGAGAGGAAAATTAGGTGTCACTAAAGTAGCCAAAACAAAAAGAAAAAATGGATGCGTGTAACTTTTACGCGCGGTTGAAATAAAACTTCTTTGGCAAATTCGCAATAAAATTGAAACAAATCAATAATTAAATAAGCCATATTACAATCATATATTTATGGAATATCATACACGGAAAGAATATAACACTATATTTGTCAGACAATAACAACCGTTACCATGACAACATGACAACGTATTCTATCTCATTCTCTCACCGACTTAATCCTATATAATGTGTATTTGTCTCTTTTTAGTGTCTAAGGATGTCTGATTCTAATGAAGTTTCACATCAAAATACCTGATTTTGATGTCGCAGTGCGAGGGCGTGCCTCCAGAGCGCCAGACACCTGTCGAAGCGCGCCTCGTCGGCGAAGACGGCGCCGCGAAAGACGACGGGGTGCGGCAGGTCGGGGCAGGCGCGGCCCAGGATGCGCTCGCGCACCGCCAGCCCCTCCATGTGCAGCGCGTGCGCGTTGCTGTGTAGCCGCTCCACCTCCTGCACCACACGCGAGTATACTTTATAAAAACTTAAAATAAAACCGACTTCAAGGCACTAAAATGTAAAAAATAACTAGACGGGAGTTTTCATAAAGAATAGATACCTAATCAGATATTCTCGAAGTCGGTGCCAGCACATAAAAAAATACATAAATAATCTGATCAGCTCTATTAACTTGAATATGCTCAAGGTTTTTTAGTAAACACGGGCCTCCTAACACGAGGGGGAACAGGCCATACGTCCATCACGCTGGCAAAGTGCGTGGCGGACTTCACATATCTTTCGAAAACTTGTTAAGTTATCTCAGACATGCAGGTCTCCTCACGATGTTTTCCTTCACCGTAAGGCAAATGAAAATTATTCACACATGAAAATATGAGAGGTGCGAGACCCGACATAAGAACCCGCTTTAATTTGTTTCCTAAGCGAGCGCGTTACCACTGGGCTACCACTGCCTTAGTTTTAGTTCTTTATAATTTCGCTTTTACTCGTAGAATCAAATTTTCACTCATTCTAATAATCGCTATTCCAAATAAAAATAAAAATGACATCCTTTGATTTCATTCAACAATAAATAGATAAATAATGAAAAAAGAATCTTCATTCGCACTGCCATCGGAATATACGTCAACTGGAGCTATCGCGAGTTCGATTCCCGGTTCGAACGGCACCCAATTTTTATCTAATTAAGCATTATTATTACCTCTAAAGTAGTACTCTCTCTCCAATTATCGTAAGCGGGAATGGGGTCTGCAGGTTTCTTCAATAGAAGGCCGTATCTCGTGTCGTAGCGCATCGCCATCGCTCTGTGCAAGTACGTGTATGCCATCTGTATTAATAAAAATGTACATAATTAAAAATGAAATTGACGACACGTTTAGCTCAGTTTGTAGTGACTCTACTTGCTGCGCCAGCGGTCGCGGGTTCGAGTCCTGCTGGGGGGCATTCATTTGTGTGATGAGCACGAATGTTTGTACTCCAGTCATGGGTGTTTATATTTATAATATGTATGTGTTTAAAGTTATATAATGTGTGTAGTGTATCAACTATCTGATATCCATAACACATTACACAAGCCTCGTAACTTACCATGGAACTAGACGGTGCTGTGTGTTAATGTAAAAAAAACTGCCTCACTTGAAAAAAGCTGGTCAGATGTTGCTACGTTACTATGTTACTACGTTACTATGGTACTATGTTATACAAAAAAAACTTACTCTTAAACAATAATACTCCTTATCATTAGCGAATGATGCACCTAAAAGCTCGTACGCCTCTATAGATTGCGCGCGAGACACTTCGGGGCGCGCCGCTAGTATCTCCACTACGGACGCGCGCGCACGTTCCGCCGCACATTGAAGGGGAGTCATACCTGAAAAGCGACCTCATTTTAATCGATATAAAGTTTATTTTCGTTTGTTTATTAATCTATCCAGTGGAAAAAATATTCATATATATTATACCTTAAATTTATTCATATACATGATACCTTTTGTTATTTTGCAAATAATAGCGTTTTAGTAGTTAATATTAATATCAACATATGATAATATATCCCACGGGAATCGTACATTTTTCCAGGATAAAAGTAGCGTGTGTTATTCCGATGTATGAGGTATATTACTGTAAAGTTTCATTAAAATTCATTCAATAGTTTTTGCCTAAAAGAGTAACAAACATCCATACATCTATACATCCAGATATCCATATATCCTCACAAACTTTTGCATTTATAGTATTAGTAGGATAAGATGTAAAATGCATCAAACAAAAAGATGTTCTTTATTATGGTGCAAAAGAACTGAGGGTAAAATCTCGGAAACTCTTCGATGAAGCTGTAATTTGGCCAATATGCAGTTTTTAGGTAAAGGACGCGAAGTAAGAACAGATTTTTCGTCAGGGCCGAATTAAAGGGTTCTAGAGGCTATCATAAGTTTATATTTAACTCTTATATTTTTTCAAATCTTAACATATTATTATCAAATACGCAGACGTAGTCACAGGCTTCGCTAGTGTATTAACTTAGAAATAACAAAACTCCTTTCTTTTTATCTTTACTTATATTAATTAAAGTGCTATAAGAATAATTATATTTATTAATTAAACTCCACTATCGGTATTTGTTCAAATAATAATTACAAACTATACACATACAAATATCAATCAAAATTCAAAACAAACACCGCTCGAGTGCAACTATGTATGTATAATATTTCAAGTAAGTAAATAAAAGCCAATAAATTACTTACTTTTATTATACATTATATGTATATTAAATATGTTTTTTTTAAATAAAAATAAGGTTTTGTTTGTAGACGTTTCGAATGTTTTACAGCAATCATGGTCACGGGAGGGACTAAGATTTAAGACGTCTCAAAGGCATTATAGTGTTTACAGACAGCGTACCCACAAAATAACACACGCAATTGACCAGCGTGGTGGAATATGGCCTGATGCCCTATGTATTGGGAAGCCCGTGGTTAGCAGTGGGACGTTAGAAAAGGACTGAATACAAATAGATACATACAAACATTTAAGTATTAATAGTATTAAAAATATATAAACAAACTAGCGGCTCATCTTTGCTTCGCTCGGGTTCACCTCTAGGAAAACAAAAACAAACCTATCACATGGGATAAAAAGTAGCCTATTCCAGACTATAATCTATCTCTGTTCCAAATTTCATCACCAATCATGCAGATCCGTTCAGCCGTTCTGCCGTAAAAGAGTAACAAACATCCATACTAAGAATTTTTTAAATAGTATAGATATAAATACCATTCTCATTAGTAAGTATCTTCGCGTTGTGGTCTATGAGTGCGCACACAACGGCCGCGTGTCCGCACTCTGACGCGAAGTGTAGGGCTGTAGCTCCACATAGCGCTCTCTCGTCCACTCTCGCACCACTGTCTAATAGGAATTGGACCTGAGAGGAGCAAATATGAATTAAATTGAGTTAAAAGAAGCCATTATAATATAGGAAAAGAATATAAGATGGTATTGTGTACTTTATATTTTCTATATTGGAGAATTGTACAATAATTTTATATAAAAAAATAACTCAGTCTCGGTGGTCTAGTGGCTAGCATGGCCGCATCTCCGGATATACTCGGTTCGAATTCCGGGTCATGCCAAGTTCAGTTATTGAGAATTTCTGTCAAAAAATTCTCAGTAGGAGCTGGGAAAGTTAACGGTGTTTCACCCCCGTGCCTCGGAGAGCACGTAAAGCCGTCGGTCCTACGCTTTTACTCTCACCGAGTTTGACCGAACTTTGAGAGTAAAAGGAGTAAAGAGTGCAATTGTGTCTGCGCGTACACTTGTGCACTATAATATCTCCTATGCATCTAGCTAGTCTCAGTGAGATTGACCGCCGTAGCCAAAATCTGTCCGGAGGACCTTACTAATTCAGTCTATTCAACGTTTGTTAAGCACAGGCCCTCATCAATGTGAGTTAAATCAGGTGGCGTGCTTGTCATACTTCACATGCTTTTCGAAAACTACTTACATAGTTAGAATCTCTCAAACAATGCAAGTTTCCTTGCGTTGTTTCCTTTCATCGTAAGGAGAGTGGTAATCATGTTGAAAAATGATTCCCATATGAAAATTTTGAGATGAGAGAGTCAAGATCTGAACTTGCTTCACTAAGTTTTCCAAGCTAGTGCTTAACCACTGGGCTAGCACTGCCTTAAATTAAATGTACGAGTATATTCTTTTTATATTCATATACGTACCGATAAAGTATTTCTTTATAGGTAACAATACTAAAATATTGTAACCTAATATTATTACGATCTAGCCAACAAGTCTAATGAGTAATTTAACTTTAACTTAGTTTTATAAAATAAAATATCTAAGAATGTGTCCAATGGCACTTTTCTTAGTCTCTAGTTTAGCGAAGACACTTTGTTCTTGTGTTCTATATTGGTAGCACTATATTATTATTACTTTCAATACATTACACTATTTTTTTGAAAACTACACTAACTCAAAAGGTTTAGTTCTTTTGAGCCTTCTCACTATGCCCGTATTGTCGCGGAGCTAGATAGCTTCGACATTCACACGTTTAAAATGATATTTAACTATCTAACTAGTCTGAAGGACAAAAAATCTATGGAAACACCACATAACTTGAAATTTGGCCTCAATTCCATTTCATAAAAAGGAAGCATTACAAAAATAAATTACATACCTACAAATAAAATCGAGCTTAAAAATATACCACACACTCACCACATCAAGATGACCCTTGTACGCGGCAATCATGAGACATGTATTATTATATTTATTCGCTTTGTGTATGTCTGCACCATGTCTTACTAAATATTTGACTATGTCTAATCTGCCGTCGAAGCAGGCAGCACGGAGGGGCGTGCTTAATGTTTTTGTTGCGTGGTTCACATTAGCACCAGCCCGAACTAAACGTTTGACTATACCTAGGTGACCAGCACCTGCGGCGCACCATAATGCTGTTGCACCTGAAACAAAAAAAGGTATTTAAAGCCTTTATTTAAGCTACCATTTACATATATTTTAACAAATGAAATAACCTTGGCCTTCACTTTGTATCAGACGATTGGCACAGATTTTGTCGTGAACTAGATAATTTACAGTATCCGCCCTAATTATTTTTGAGTGTCAGAAAGCTAAAAACTAGATATGCAAAGAATATATCTCATGCGATGCGAATAATTATTTGACGAATAATGTATCGATGATGACTTTAATTCTATAATTCAAAAAATATTTTAATAATTAATTAATATAGAAGCTACAGTGGAAGGTCAAGTTATTGAAAAATATTTCCATCACATTTTTTTCTTGAATTTTGTAATGGAACTGCGGATGATAATAGATTTTAAGGGGCCCGGCCGATAGATGTTTGGCATCAATTTCGTTCTTGGAACTTTAATTTATTAGGCGAATACTAACATTTGGTAATTTACTCTTGTTGCATCACTACTTAAGACAGATTAGCAAAGAATTTCATAAAATTGCTATATATACCTACTAGCGGACCCGACAGACGTTGTCCTGTCTACACGTCTTTAATTTGAAAATTTCAAACTTTTTTTAATAATTTTTTTGATGAAAATTATTATTCAAATTGTGAATCTAAACCATTCCCAGATCCCCTTGAACACACACAAAAAATTTCATCAAAATCGGTCCAGTCGTTTGAGAGAAGTTCAGTGACATACACACTCACAGAAGAATTATATATATAAAGATTTATTTTTGTAAACCTTACAAAAACCATTTTAAAAAAAATTGGTTGTCATACAACGATAGTGCAATGGAAATTAATGATGAAAATAAATATTTTCGTGCAGGAATCAAACCTCATACTTTCTAACCTTTTTCACCAAATACTTTATCTGTATCTACTCCTTACCTAAGAATAACACATTCATTATGTTAAACATTGATAAGTTAATATAAAAATTGCCAAAAACCACCGTCAGAAAGTTTGATGGTATCAATATTGCATTTATTGCATGCACTTATACTTTAAATAACAAATAGAACAGGTAGGATTAGCGACTTTTCTGTCAATTTTGCAGTAATATATGTATATTAAACGTTAATTTTGAATAAATTTTGATCTACCTACGTACGAGGTACCTATCTTATTATTTTTTTCTCCATACACAATCCCATGTTTTGCGTAGTGACTTCTCACACTTCACTCTTTGTTTTCACTGCTTTTGTCCTAACCAGACCGGAATAAAAATCTATATGATGACGTCACTACAAACAATTGCCCAGTGCAAGACTCAATCTGTTACCTCTGGCGTAGTAGGCTGTGCGAGATGCATACCCCAATGCGCCATGATGGTAGTCTAGAAATATGATCATAAAATATAATTTTAATGAAAATGCTAATTTATTTAAAAAAAAGACTGTTAGTTTAATTTCTAGGCTTCATTTACGAAAAGGAGACTTTTTACGATACACTAGCGCCAATGTGCATATTGAAATTGCATATTGAAGTCTCATACAAGTGGACACTTTATTATTAATCATGCATAGATTTAAACAAAACATACTAATTATACATTTAAAGTAGGAATGCATCCGATACCGATATATCGGCGATATCGTCGGTTTTCCGATATATCGGTAACGGCCATATTAGTTTGCCGATACACCGATACATTTTTAATAATTTAAGTATTTTCTAATCTGAACTTTATTATTATATATACTGATATTGTGAAGTTGTAGGGGGTAATCTCTGGATCTAATAAACCGATTTAGATGAAATTTGGTACGAAGATAATTTGAGACCCCTGGGAAGGACATAGGATACTTTTTATTCCGTAAATCATCCCTTAAGGGGGGTGAAAATGGGGATGAAAGTTTGTATGGGGAATCAACGTAGAGACCGAGCCCGAGCAAAGCGAGGGTGAGTCGCTAGTTTAATAATATTTTGTTAAATTACACTTTTCAAAACATTATTGATATTTTGTTAAAATACATCTTCCAAATTTCGCCAGTTAATCTTTTAAATAAATATTACTTATGCATAATGTCGTTAGTTTCTGTGTTTTCTATCCTACAAAACCCATAGTTTTTTACTTTTTGTACCTTTTAAAGCCTGCAGTGTTCGCATCGGTATCGGTGATACTTTTTTATAAATATCGGTAATCGGTATCGTATCGGCAGAAGTGCGTATCGATGCATCTCTAATTAAAAGAAATTCAATATGTATTTTTTTGTTATTTAAAATCGAAATATTTAAGCTTATAATACCACGTGAGTCAATATTTATACTTTGGTCACAGTTGTGAAATTTTTCAGCAATGACTAAGACATTTCGCATTTCACATGGCTTTATACTTTATAGTTTTTGTGTCTGCTAATTGCGCCAATATTCACAATGAACCCTGTACAATTCTAACATAATCATGCGAGTTATCGCGGTTTGGTTGTTTTGTTTTCATTTCGTCTATTTCCACAACTCCGATAGTAGAAATTGCTTTTAAAAAACTTTTTTTGTTTAAAGTTGAAATAAAACCAACAAATCAGATTGATAACAATTCAACAACACAACAATTATTAAAAGTATAATATCATGCTTCTAAATGACTGGTAAACGTATGTAACCAATGAAAGCGAATTAGCTTCCCACTGGAGACCAATATTTTTACTGACTTAAACTTCTTCTACTTGCAATTCTCTTGGATAAAAGTGTTTCTATTACCGGAGAAATGACTACACTATTTCATAGAACCAATAATAAGTGTGGAATGAGGAACACATATTTTGGAATAGCTAAAATAGCTTCCGATGGAAGCTTATTCATAACGCCTCAGCGCCTAAATATACATATTTCACAAAAACACTAAGTAGTCGACTTCAAAGAACCCAAAACGTATCGAATAAAAGTCCAAGCGCATTGAAACTGCAAACGGAATTATAATCGCGAATTTAATTGCTATAAATCATATGAAAACAAAGATCTGGATGTACGCCAAGTAAAGAAACGTCGAGTATGTTATAATGTGTACGATTTCTTTGTGTACAAACCGAAGGATTCTATTTATACCGAGCCACGCGAGGACCTGGCCACGTAAAAAGTCATTGGTCTTTTACACGATAAAGATGACCGTTTTACGGAAATAACCTGTGTTTAATGTTTTTTCTTCATTTATTTAAATACGTAGTAAACTTTATCGTCAGATAAATCGTTTCATATTTCCACGTGCAGAGATTAAAAGAATTGCGAAGACACGTGTTGATTTAAACTTGTTCTAGTGTCGGAGATGGGACATGATAAATAATCCTAATAATAAATAAACTTTATGGCTCAATATTTTATCCTATTTTCAACTAAAAAAATGTTGTGACTTCAAAATCGTTTAAAAAGCAGTTGCTCTATCCAGTAATTGCGTACAATTACATAAGTAATTACTGAATATTTTTGAAGTCAAAAAATGTATGTATTACAATACAGGACAAAGATATCATGCAGCATGTACACAAAAAAAAATAAACACAGGAATTAAGTCTTGAAGTCGGTCAAAAAATACAAATAGCGAATTCATATAAATTACTATTTGGCAACCAAATACGTAAGCAAACAGAAATTTAGACAGTTGCATATAAATATTATAGCACTGACTTTGCTATTTTGCATTTATTACGTGTTTGTATACATTTAATTTGGGCCATAACGGCCTTTATTGCACCTCGTGACTATATGTTTTAGAGTTAGAATAACATAGATAAATTAAATAGGTATGTTTACTAAACTAGCTCAAAACAAAATTAGCACCATCATCATTTTAGAATGTATGTCTTTTTGTAAATTACTCATTTTAAAATACGCTATAAAAGTTTCGTAACATTTGACGCAGTGGTCAAGATTATTCCTCGTAGCCCTTGAACCGCAACCGTCTAAACTCTAATATAATAGTGAATAGTCTAGTCTAATATTAAAAATACGAAAATGTGTTTGTTCGTTTCTTTGCCTACCTACCTACCTACCTAATTTATTGCATAGATAGGTAGTTTATTTCAAAAAATTGGCTATTTACTATCAGAAGTATAATCAAATACAAAATGTTTCCTGTAGGATATTGCAAAAGTTACTTCGGGACGTTCAAGATCTACTCGTAGTTAGAGCATAACCGAAGCGAGGTCAGGTTTATGCACTATATCCTTAACTACGTAACATTTTTTATTAATATGAAAAAATAAGCAATGACCAATCTAATTATACTCTAATTATACTGCACTATTCAACAGTTAACGATATCAAAATTAATATTAAGTGAACAATCGCGTCGTTAAAATGCAAATCATTTGCGTATGCGTGATTTTTCCTTCATTCAATTTCTGTTATTTATATAATAGCTATATCTAATTTATACCAACAAACTATAGTTGTGTACTTTATAAGTAATGAATGATTGCATAAGATAACGTCGTCTTGTATCATTTGACTTGTCCCAGCGATTATTAAAAGAAAATTTCAATATTATATTAGATTCTAAATAAATATTTTCACATTAACTGTGATAATGAAAGGAAATATGTAAATAAACTAAAGTAGAAACATAACATTTAAATCACAATACTCTTTCGATTACAATGCTTTAAATTGAAAGAAACAGTATAGAGCAGCATTGTTTGTCATTTACTCAGTAAATAGTTTAAAACCTTCTCATTTGTTGTAATTATTGGCATCACTAGTTGATGAACGTGGCACTAAGATAAAAAAAGCAGTCATGAGGACTGCAGACAGAAGTAAAACTTAAAACTATAAACAAACAGTTGTTAATTTTGGATATTCAAATTAATTGTTTAATCTTAAATTAAAATTTGTAAATTAAAACTATTTACATTTATCTGGTTTTGACATCTATCGGCACTCTGAGTGTTAGCGTTAACACGTCACGTGAAAATGTCGATGATGTCTTACATGAATTTACTCCCCATCCAAACCTGCCTATAGAAGTCGTCAGTTCAATAACTAAATACTCTTTGAATTTGTTTTAATCATTGTAATAATGAAAATAAACTTGACATCATACTAACACTCTTTAAAGAAAATTTGGGCCAACTTAGAATTATAGTAACTCAAGTTTTTTCAAATTCAGAGAGGGTTCTCAAAGTATGTATACTTAGTTATTACATATTTAAACTATTGGACTAAACTAACAATATACAATATACACTAAGATAAATATTTGGAGTTAAAATACAAATTTCATAAAACAACTGGCCTTATGAATAACTTCTATATTTATACAGATTTTATATATAAAATCTTATATTAATTTCTTAATTTTTGGTCAATAAATACTTGAAAAGAGGACAGAAAGTAAGCTAAATTGGCCAAAAAATATTGGCTTCAAATAACAAGTTATTTTTATTCAGCACCATTAATTCTAACAAGCCAATTAATTATTGTGCTTATTTCTTGAAAAGAGGACAGAAAGTAAGCTAAATTGGCCAAAAATATTGGCTTCAAATAACAACTTATTTTTATTCAGCACTACCTTAGATCAAAAAAGAACTAGATACACAATCAGCGACAATTTGATCGATGAGCGCCGCTAAATTTAACAAGCCATTCAATGATTGTGCTTATTTCTTGTTCCCTACTAATTCTGTGTCAAGGGCACAAAAGGGATATATTTTTTTTGCAAATATAGCATCTCTTAGTTTCATCACGTAATATGTATGTTTATTGCTCACTAAAGTATAGATAAGTGAATGATTATTATATTTAAATAAACAAAAAATACATAAATTTAATAAAATTAAAAATTCAGTATTACAAAAAGTCTTTACATTTTTATATCAAATGTGTCTAAGCTTAAATACTGTTTAATAATTAAATAACAAAGCATTGTTATGGAAATTTTAACCTACATACTGTATGTAATGTAACGCAAGCATTACATTTAGTTTTTTTCACCTTCAATATATCCTTCAACAACAGATAAGCGCAACTTTGTTTCATAACAAAAGAAAGTTAATTACTAATACTTCACACAATATGGGAGATGAAAATCTTTTAATTTTCATATTTCTATCTAAGACTGATTACAGATATGGAAAACACAAAAATTCATATTATCTTTAGTTCTTTGTTTATATTTATCTTTTGTTTGGACTATTGTATAATTATATATTTAAGAACAAATATTATGTATCTATTTTACATAATTACAACTACACTCGAAGGTTGCCTGGCAAAGATTGGTTGTAGTTATAAGGCCACATAATGTGCATTGTCTATTTATGTTTACTTCTTTTTGCGGTTTAAAATAAAGTGAATATGTTTCTGTATGTTTCAGTGATTTAATTGAACATTTTTTTTATTTATTTTAAATGTTCATTTAAGATCATTTTTATAAATGAGTAACATAAACACTTATTCAATTCGTAAAATACACAATAAACAAATCAAACCACCACTGTGTAGTCTTTCCGATTATTACACTTTCCTATTTAAATGGGTGCTAATTTATTCTTAAAATCTAATCTTTAAGCTTTTAATTTAGGAAATAGTAACAAACATACCTTCTATAACATATTCATCAAATTTAACAGTGCCTTCTGTTTCCAATCTAACTGGTGGACGGAACTTCTCCAATAAGATTCTGACTGCTCCTTCACGTCCATGTCTTGAAGCTGCTATCAATGGTGTACATTTAACTCCATCACAGCATACATCCTAAAAATATGATGCTTAGTGTGATACCAAAGTTATAATACATTTTGCATTATAATTAATAAGATTGATATACACTAAGAGCCAGAAATGAAAACTATACAACTGAAACCATAAGCTTTATAAAGTAATGACAATGATATAAAATTAGGCTGAAAAAACAAAAAATATTGTTGCAAATAATTTAATTGTGCATTTGAAATAATTTTGTTATTATTATAAATATAAAACAACTTCCTTATAATTCTTACTATAATAATATTACAATAAAATACCTGGTAAAATTGTTATTTTTATTATAATTATAATTTATCTATATACCTATTTTTTTATTATCAATCACTTTCTGTTGCTGCATTATTTGAATGTCAGTGAACTTCATCATAAGACATAAATAAGTTAATATGTTTTCAAAGTATGTAATACAATGACACAGGTCATTGGGTTCAAGTATATTCATATAGTATCCATATATTGTTTATTAAACAAAACATCATTCATAAAACAACATAATAAAATGAAATATAAAATTGGTATCTAATACCGATTAGATATATTCGGCATTTGCGCAAACAATGTAATTTACGATTCACATAAACATTTATATAAAAATAAAAAGGATACGACGCAAAAAATCATTAAGAAAGGCATCCACATGACTCGCAAAATAAGATATCATCTGATTTATATGTAAAAATAGATATTATACACGTTACTTCTAATAATATTTTTGACTAGTGACATTAGCAAAATATTAAAAATAGTGTCAAACCTTATAAAGGAATTCTTCTAAATACTTACGCTGTTCAGAAGATCGTCTATATCATCAGTATTTTTCTCATACAATAAAGCGTAAAGAGTCAGAGACATTCCATCTCTAGCGGCAAAGAACACCCTTTCCCTCAAGGTGCTGGATATATCGTCCAGCGTTAATTTGTCCTCCATCGTAACATTCACTTTGAAAAATGTAATACACAACTGAGTTGTTCAAATATTGCACTCGATATAAACTCGAAAATACTTTGTTTTTGTTGTCCAATTCACGGAAGTCCTAAAATATTCCCTAATTACAGTCACGGGAACAGGAGATTACACTACGGCAGCTGAGTACAGAAAACAAATATTTGCGGTACAAGTCTTACACTGTACACATGACATTTGACAGCTTACGTTTTGAAATATGAAAAATAATTATATTTTAAAAATATTTTGATGTTAAAACTTATTTATGATTACAGCCATAATTTAAATGAAATTATTATAGTAAAATGAAATATGCCACTCACAACGAGATGTACAAGTGTAAGGAAAGTTTCCCCTTTAATAATAAAATAATAAAAAATAAAAGAATTAAGAAATATGTTACCTAAGTCATAAACGCGTGATAAAGTTGTATATTTAACTAGAAACAAGAAAAAATATTTTCCAGGCTAAATGATCTCGTAATTCTTTAAACAAATCTAATGCAGAAGTATTTTTGTGGCTTCGTAATATATTAAAATCTTTTATATGCGACGTTTTAGTGGAAAGTACATCATTAATATATTAAAGTTTTTGTCCATTTGTATTTATCAAAGTAATATATAATACTTTTCAAGGAAATATTTTTATTTTGGTAACTCTTTGTGCAATAAAATGCAATGAACGCAGTGCCACGTTTTGTCCAAGTGGAATTTATTATCCAATGAGAAACCACTTCACCTTTCAGTTTGACGTTTTTGCAATTTGCTTTGTTTTTGACGTGTAGCCTGTCGCTTTCTCTCTATTTACAAAAAATATTTAATTAATTTAATAAACTTTTAATTATGTCGAGCGGTCAATGGGAAGTTGTTGGTAAAAGCAAGAAGTCTCAAAATGGTAAAGTCAAAAATTCTAAAGATGAAGACAAAAAACCAACCAAAAATGGTCCGAAACTTGAAGATGTCGGTATGTCGTGTATTAAATTCTCGGCTTATCTTATACACATAATATCTAATATTATTTAATATTTATTGACGGTTTTTTTTTATTTTAGTACCACCATCACAACTGAAATCCTATTATGCGGGGATGGAGATCGACGATACTAAGAAGCCGCCAAAGGATAAAAAGAAGGATGGAGACAAAAAAAAGAAGCAGGATAAAAAATCGGAACCTCCAAAGCCCAAGCCACCTAAGACTATCGAGGAGGCCCTTGAGGCTGTAAGTAATCTATACATATTATAAAATTCTAACTGAGTCGAATCTGTACATAGAATTTTTTTTTTTTGGAAAATCTTATATTATAATCATTATTATCGATACAGAGGCCAAATCTATAGTTTTTAGAATTTTTGTATGTCAGTCTGGGAACGCATCACGGAAAAACCACTGGACATATTTTGAGGATATTTGGTGTGGTGATAGCTGGTTATCCGGGTCAATATATAGGATTCTTTTTACTGCAGCAAACTATCTCGTCTGAGAAATCTATACTAAATGTTAAAACGTTCGCTAGTTCTTATATAAATAATTAAGGAGGTGTAGGGTTTAAATTTCATATAATATGTATGTAGAATTTTATAGTAATTTTCAAAAGTTGTGCAAATAAAATACATTTCTTTTTTTTTTCAGATTGATATTGCAGAGTTGGCAAATGTTATAACAACAAACAAGCTTCGATTTTCTAATGCTCCTCTGGTTTGGTTAAAAGAAGTGGCTAATTTCCTTAATTCTAAAATTCAAATTGATGTTGATGACTCCACTTTTGCCAACTATCCTCCAACCTATCCACTATGTGTTACACCAGTACCTGTAAAGAAGGCATTGGAAACTGTACTACGTGATTCAGGAAAAGCGAACACACAAATATTTTTTGATGTAACACTCACTACCTTAGCTAATGATATGATAAGAGGTACGCATTTGTATAATTTCAATTATTCATTTTAATTGCATAAATAAAAAAATCTAATTATTCATAATTTAAGTAAACATACATTGTAATAAAAATCTTAAATATTACACTCCCATCATTACTACTCACATTTTACTAAAACCAGGTAAGTGTGTCATAACATTATATTTTATTGTTGGAAAGTTAATTTTGTAATGCAGTTATGTCATTTGTAAGAAAAAGTTAAATTGTGTGTTCCTTTATGTAATATAAACAGTTATTATTATTTACAGTTAATTTAATTAACATAAAATGTAATTTATTCTAGTTATTTTAATTAATATAACTAAGAAAATTGTAATTTATGCAGTAGTTACATGTTTTCTTAATAATTTAACCATAAGCTCAATTGAGAAACCATTTCAAAATTGATGATTTTATTTTCAATACTAAGTATTTCAATTACCTATTTGTCATAGATATGTAGTGTTATATTAAAAAACGTGTTTGTGTACTTATGTATGCACGTAAGAAGTTATACTTCTTTGGCGTAACAGAACAAAAATAGCTAAAGGTTTCATCCCTTATGTCACAACTCTCAGTTTGTAAAGGGTTGATATATTTATAAAATAATAAAATAAGGCATATAAGTACAATATTACAGTCATATATTTATAAAATATAATTTAAAGAAAGAATATAATATTCTATATTATCATTTGTCAGACAATAACAATGGTTACCATGGCAACAAACAGTTATCAGCTTACTTCATCATGTTGCTTTTTGGCTGTCGGTGTGCGCGCGCATCCTAAAAATTTTATTTTCATAATTTTTTCCAAATGACTCAAAAGAAGTATAACTTTAAAATATTTATTTTTTTGTAGGTCAGTCTGTAAACGGCCATAGATTGCTTTTACAAATGCTAGCTCATGAATACCCAGAATTTTGTATAGCATCCATACCCAAGAGTGTTACTCTTAGAAATTCATATCAGAACAGGCCCCCAATTGGATTATCTTTGCTATGGACATTGGGCCAAGGTGGTTATAAAGACTTCGCAGTTGGATTGAAAGGTAAAGGATAATTTTAAAAAATTGTAGCTATTTTAATGAACAAGACATAAAAAAAGCTATTTACAAGTTTTCTCATATCTATCTGTCATATTCATGGGTATATAATTGAAGATCTATGTTAAGATTAAGAGTCTGTATTTGTTAGTACCTAGTATAAATATTTTTAATTTTACCATATTATTTATCTACATATAATTCATAATTCTTACTACCTAAATATTAAACTATATATATTTTCTAGTATAATTGTTGTAAACACTCCATGACATTTTTTTATTTGTAACAATGATAATATTTATTATTAAAAAGAAATGTTTATATTATAAACTACAGAAATTCCTCCATATATTTTTCCATAGATATAACTCCTAAAACCAAATACCACTTTCAATATAGTCAAATTATTCCATGGCTTTTTTAAAAAGGTTAACTTTAAGCCCCACATTTTATCTTTTATTTTATAAATACATTCACTTATCTGTTATCTCAATGTTACCTGTCAAGGTATGTTGATAACCTTATTTAGTACTGTGATGTTGTTCGAATTCTCTCGTTGAAGCATAAAGTATTAAATATTTTTTATTTTAAAGTAGTGTGAGCGTGTAAGTACTAATATTAAATTTACTCTAAATAACTTTTCTAAGACTATAAGTAAGTTTTGATCTATAATAAAATTATTTTTGCAATTAGGTTTTCAAAGTATTAAAAAAATTTTAAAAAATTGGTAGATGGTAAAAATTAACCTGTATTTAACATGCAGTGCAAGTGCCGTTTGCAGCAGCAGTATGGTTATGCATATGATTTCAACTGTAGGCAATTTTGGATATTCCCTATATTTTATAATGAAAAAATCTAATTTAAGTTTCATTTTCAGCCTGGCAAGAACTCTTCTTTCCTATAATCGAGTTAAAGAATTACACGAAATACACAATAGTGTATTTGTCCAATTTACTGGACAGACACGCTAGTATGGACGCTAAAGTTACATTAGACCAGCTGGTTGCCATGTTCGACATGGTGAATAGCAAACGGAATGCACTGTCTAAAGATCTGTCAAGTGACCTTATCAAGCAATTAAGTAAATATAAGGTAAGTTATTATATCCGACGACACATTTGGCTCAGTTTGTAGTGACCCTACTTGCTGTGCCAGCGGTTGTGGGTTCAAATCCCACTGGGTGCATTCTTTTGTGTGATCAGTGATGAGTAAGAATGTTTGTACTCCAGTTATGGATGTTTATATTTATAATATGTATGTATCCAACTATCTGGTATCCAGAACACAAGCGTCATAGCTTAACATGGGACTAGATGGAGCTGTGTCTTAATGTAAAAAAAATGTCTTTGATATTTCACATTCATTTTCAAAAAAAAAATGTTTATATGATATACTTCACAAGCCATTTACGTGTTCAGTTAATGTTTTGTTATATCTATTGGTATAATATAGTCCTCTAGAAATTAAATTCTTTATTAAACTAGTGAAAAATCATTGCTTTGCTCATCTAAGTAACTTTAACTAGTACTAATAAATATAACGATAGCCTCTGCAAAATATCGTGAATTTAACGTTCCCTCACATTCCCGAATGAAGCATGTTCAAAACCCAAGTTTTGCACCGAGTCAATGCACCTTTGATATTTTCATGTGCAAATCATTTCCATAATTATCACTTGTTTTAAGGGTAAAAGAAAATATCGTGAGGAAAGTGCTCAGCAGTGGGACGTTAAGAAGGGCTGAGTTTACATTTATAATACATGCATTAATATTACAAATTGTTTTCAGGATATTTATTTCAATAATAGCGGCAATAAACTCCAAGTGACCTTCAACCAGTTAATGAAGAAGCTGCCAAATCAATATCTTAGTGGAACAAATTTAGATCCCTACAACAAAGTGTTGGTAGCCAGCCTCATTGACTGCTTGGTAAGAGACGACTCGTGCAATGCAACATGGCGACAACTCTTTAATAGGTGCCCAAAGCAATCTGCGACTGTGATAGAATATATAGGTGAGATACTTAGAATATTAAACGTTTTTTTATGTAATGAAATAACCAAGTGAGAAACAAACAATGTATGTAAATAAAATGTGTTTAAAAATAATATAGATGGCTTTTTTGAGGCCTCGCTTTACCGTTCTTTTTTTTCCAAAATAATAATAATACTACGTTTTCACAGATACTAATTGGGACGAATTAAGTCCAAAATTAAAGAAAAAGTCTTTGAAAACAACGATTTTACAATTTAAGGAAGTATGTGGGGAAACTTTGAAGGGCAAGAAGAAAGATGAAGCTGTTGTTAAGACGAACAAAATATGCCAGGTTGGTGATTCTTTATTTACAGTTCTGATTCGTTTACTTTCATGTGTTGTGTGTTGTTTGTGAATAAAAGTATAAATATGAGAGATGTAACTACCATCGGGTCACTATTCGGTATTTCGCCTACCCGAAATTTTCCTTAGGTCTCTCAGCATTTTCTGAGAAAAGTTACCATAGTAATGTATATTTATTTTTACACTATCATAAAGTAGAAAAAGTATCCTATATGTTGACCCGGCTAACAAGCTACAACCATACGAAATTTCATCAAAATCCCTCAAGTGATTTTTCCGTGATGCGGTAACAGACTAAAGTTCTAAAAATTATAGATTCGGCCTCTGTATCGATAATAATGTCTATTTCAATAAGATTTCCAAAAAATATTTAATGTACAGATTCGGCTTAGTTATAATTTTATTATATGTATGGGTCACTGGTTAATCTGTCAGTGTACACTGTACAGTATGTTTTTTTTTATTACTTAAAACTATAACTTTTTATTATCAATCTGGTTTTTTACCCAAAAAAGAAAATAAAATTATTTATTCGATAACTAAATTAACAGACAAATAAAAAAAATTATATTTAATATCATTGACTCAATCACAATTAAATATTAATACAAGTTTGCGAGCAAAATATACTTTGTGTTTGATTTTCCCGCGGTATTAGAATTCAGTTTGTTGCCAGCTTTTTTATTTTATTTAACCACTTTTAATATTATGGTTTCGCAATTGTATTAATTTTATCTTATGAAAATTACTGATATAAAAGAATGATATAAATATCCAAAATTAGAAACTAATACTATTTGTATTCATTTTTTGTAATTCTATACTTTTTGTTATGGTCACATTGTTGCTTAATTTCAATGCCAAAAGAAATCGAAAAGTTAAGGACGTACCTACTTGTGGGACGCATCGAACGAAATTGATTTTGTAATTATATTCGAAAATAAACTAATAAATTTATTCTGTATGAAATAATTACTGAGAAGTGCATTATAAAATTTACCGGTGAGTTCAAATAGAATTCAAGCATATTTAACAATAAATCGTATGTGATATCGTAATTTTCCATAATGGGCGTACCGCGCAGTTTAGAGATTATTTAGCTGAAGTGATTTCTAGTTTGGAAAACAAGAATTGCGAGTTTTTTACGTATATTCCACGCGCCCAACGTCCGTTCTTAAGATATTAACAGTAAACTAATAAACTTCGATGTGTTACATCCGCTATTGCTCGGCGGGAGTCTCCTTAAACATATTTTGAGATTGTGAAGTGTAAATGTTATGGGCAGGTGAAATTTTATTCATTGTGTAACATTTTTAACTTGTGTGTTATTAATAACATTCCCATTAAATGCGTTAGTCATTTAATTAACGTAACTAACATTAATTCTTTAGGATACAGTAAACATTATGTTAATAGGGATCTCTCAATGAATTATAATATATATTTAAATTCTTAAGCTTTTAATAACTTCACATATAAAAAAGGTCAATTTAAATTAACCATGGCATATAATAATAAATCTAATTATGTTAAAATTAATTATCTAGGTTATACTAAAAAATACTGTACACTACAACAACTGCATGCAATTGTACCATGCAAAAATATAACCATTTTAATTAAACTTCAGTTAATAACACTTATATTTTTTACTAACGGCTCACTTTTGTTTCGCTCAGGTTTGGCTTTAGAAAAACAAAAACAAGTCTATTCCACGGGAACTGGACATTTTTCTGGGATATAAAGTACCCTATGTGTTATTCTGATAATATATGAGCTATATTATTATAAACTTTCATATAAATTCCATTCTGTAGTTTTTGCGTGAAAGATTAACATACATCCATACATCAATACATACAGGCATCCATACATCCTCAAAAACTTTTGTATTTATAATATTCAACAATAGTATTGATTTTCCTTGTATGTACAAGTAAGGATTAATTTCTTAAGTACAACATTATTAGGATTACTAATATGATATGATATTTACAATTATAATTTATAATAATAATTCTTCCAGGATATTCTAGACAGGATGACAAGCACTAGAAGGTTCCCTTGGTTGTGGGCGAGCTTCTTCTTATTTGTTGGTATTGTGGGTTTAGTTTCTTATGATGTATCGAGAGCCAATGGTAATTTTGCCCGTAAGTATAATATTTATTACATATTTAATTCAAACTTATTGTGATTCTTAGAACTGTGACCATAAAAATGTTAATTTCTAACCTGTTATTTTCATTATATACAAACACAAAGTACATGTAACTATTAAATTTTCATGTTAATGTGTGAAGCAGTTAATGTAATGATTATTTGTACAGTACAAGTTATTCCATTACATGTGTTTTGTGATAAGAGAAATTGTTTGGTGTGCATATGATTAGATATAGGTGTATTAACCTATTGCTCCCTATCATTTCTATACAATGTTGCTTGCTTTAATGCATTAATTAAATGAGTGCGTTTTTATAGATAGCTTAAGTGTCTTTACATGCCTACTTCTTTTATTTACATCTAAAAAGTGCTTAGAGAACTTAATATTTTTTTATTCTCAAATATGTTTTATGATATGATAGATAGGTTTTGAATCATATGTTTTTCAATTATATATTATAATCCATCTTTAGCTTTACATATTTAAACCTACTTGTCCAATTGTAATGAAACTTACAAAGTTTTTTGTATTGAGAAATTGTCTATATGATAAAAAATGTCATTAAAAGCTGCTTCTTTATTCTGAAAGTGGGTTCATCCTTAGGTGATTCTTTATATTGACCGAACTTTTTTACTTATGAACCAATTGAAATAAAACAAATACTTAATGTTAAGTGAAACCTACCACAATACATTAGTGTAAACCGCACTCAAATCGATTAAACCGTTTCTGAGATTAGTGTGCACAAACACACAGACAAAAACAAATATTCTTGGGTTCAGACTATGTATAATAAGATTATTTTTTTATAGAGAGCTCAACAGGTAAACTCTTCAAAGATCTTGGTATACTAGAACAAAGTCAACAAGCATGGAGGAAAACTTTGTCAACATCAGCCCGTGGCTACTTGTGGATGGAAACAAATGCACCTATATACTATACTACTACAGTTGAAACACTAAAACCTTATGGGCAATTATCAAAAGAATTGGCCACAGTTGTTGTGAAGAAAATGGGTGGCATATATGGAAATTTGAGGGAATATGTTGTGGACAAAACACCCGTAGTCGTGGCTACAATAGATCAGTATGCGCCTGGTGTGTTGGATTCAGTGCAAAACTATGCTGCCAATGGATACAGCGTTGTGAAGAAATATTCCAATGAATATTACCAAATAACAGCGGATTATTTGTCCACTAAAGTTTTTGTGTAAGTTTACCATTATATTCTTATTTGTTATTAGTAACTTACCTTGCTTCGATCGGGTGCATTTCTAGGTACGTTTTAATTTTTTGAGTGGAACCCTAATTCTTTTTCCAAAATAAAAGTAGCCTATGTTACTCCTTATAACATCAGCTATCTGTCAGTGAAAGTTTTGTCAAAATTTGGCCAGACGTTTCAGAGATTAGCTAGAACAAACAGATCGACAGACAGACAACAATTTAAACATTATGTTTTCTTATAAGTACTGTATGTATATAATTTCATAAACATTTAGTAAAACGCTGTTATTTTGACATTACAGACACTTCAATTTTACTTATCTGTATAGATTATAATAAGGAAACACTTTTTTTAAACTTAAATTATGATTTTCAAATATGTAAGAAATATACAATGTAGCAATATAGCTACTTTAAACATTAAATTTCTAAATTCAATAAGTTTCATTGTTTATTTGCTAAGGAATTTACTGACTTTTGAGTTGTTTATAAAATAATCTGCATACCTTTGGTTGGTTACCTTTTAACAAACATCCTATTGTAATTTTATTTTTGGCCAGAGTATATGAGTATCACATTATCCATCAACTAAATTATAATCCACTCCATCAAGAATTACATACTTAATACTTAAACAATGGCAAAACTTTGTTATATTTTATTATAATACAAGTAATTTACCCTTACTGATACTGGTAGAAACATGAGAAATTAATTCAAAATGGACATTTTGCAATTGCTTCTGTTTTTTTTTTGTTTTTTTTTTAGATCAAATATGTACTAAGGCATATTGTTTTAATGCCATGCATTTTTCTATCAAAAACTGCTAAAATTTAAGTGCACACATAGTTTCTTTAAATGTAAATAATATTATTATTTTCAAATTTTCATTTACAGAGGAGAATGGGCACCAGAAATTCTACAAAACAAAACACAAGTGGCACTAAATGCGACTAAGTTCCACATGTCCTCATACTTCAGCTGGTTCAGAGAGCAAGTGCATGTATACTCCAAGTTACCCTGAGTGATGTGATAGACTGTGTGTTTGTTTACTTTATGGATCCATTCTGTTAATTATTTATATGGGCTTATTACACTTTTCAATAAATTTGTATATAAATAAATGCATTAAATAGTGTGTTCAAGTGAGTATATTTTAATTATTCATATATCAGATATTGACTGTTAAAAACTCTTTGTGATCTTTGCATGAACTTCTTCCATGAAAACTTTTCAGAAACTAACAAAATGACAATATTCCACAAAATAATATTATATTGTAAAGTTTAATAAGCTTATATTTATAATAATAATCAAAGTGATAAATTACTAACTCTTAAATATTGATTGTACTATATTTTTCAATTAAATGATTTTTACAATTTCAACCAAAAATGGAGAGTTAGCAATGTACATTTTTTTATTTTCAACTAGCGACTTACCCTAGCTTCGGTCGGGTGTGTCCCTAGGTATGTTTTTAATTTTTTTGAGCGGAACCCTAATTTTTTTCTAAAATAAAGGTAGCTTATGTTACTCTATAACATCAGCTATCTGCCAGTAGAAGTCTCGTCAATATCAGTCCAGCCGTTTCATAGATTACCCGGAACAAACAGACAGACAGACATTGTGTTTTTCTTAAATGTACTGTAATACTTTCATATGTATTTACTAAAAAGCTGTAATTTTGACATTACAAACAGACACTTCAATTTTATTTATCTGTATAGAAGATTTTGTTATGTACATACACTGATTACTTCGCAATTCGTTTTGAAAGGATTATAAATTAAATTTATGAAAGTTGAGACAGTGATTCAAATTTGGTAAATTACATATATTCCTTGAAAATTGACTTTCATAAGGTTTTTTTATATTTTTAGAATATTGAGATAAACAACAAAAAATATTTCAATATTATGACAGTAGTTTGAATTTCTCTAAAGAATTATTACAGATGAGATTATGAACTCCATGTCAAATAATACCAATAATTACCTCGAGCGAAAATCGAAACCACACCACACCTTCCGTCGCATTACTATCTAACATTCAGACGAAACAACACTGCACTTTAACAATTGTCGAATTTTTAATATAAGATTATTATCAAATGTAAAAAGTTAAAATATTTATCTTCTCTAATTGGATATTATGCACTCAAAAAATTCTAAAATTGAATCGTTATTTTTTTCTTTGAATCCTCTGTTAAGATACACCTACTTGTAGCTGCGCCGCGTTTACAAGTGCTTTGTTCTGTCTATAATTATTATGAAGACAATTACATTTTTAACCCCCGACGCAAAAAGAGGGGTGTTATAGATATAATGTGTATATATATATATATACAGTGATGTGATAAGAGCAAGCGCAAACTATTTAGTATATTTGTTTCAAACCATCATGAGGTATCATTATTTGTATGTGCTTTAGATTAATTTATTCACTAAAATTCGTTAAGGTTGCATGAACATTTTTCGTTTTCATTTAAAAAAAAAAAATTTAAACATCACATATTATTGATGTAATATTGATTTTGTTTTGTAAAAAAATCTATATATTTATAACTTTTGAGTTGAGTTCATATTTTATTCAATGAAAATTCAATTGTGATTTTCTAACAAGAAAATGAAATATAAAACTTTGAACTCCATTTACATAAAATATATTTGTACTGTTGTTTTTTTACACATATTTTTCCGTTTTTTTATTAATAATAATTAGTGTTCACCGTTTTTACTAAATTAATAATTTACAAAACTTATGTTTCAATTAAATGTTAATACGTAAAAAAATAGTGCATTTTAAATTCATGTGTTGCAACAAATCATTGCCACATTGATCACGGATGAAAATAATTTATATCATACCATTTTAATTAAATAATAACATGACAAAATAATAATTAACGTCCAAATATCAGTATTTCTTAAATACATTCCTTTTGCATTTAAAATTGTGGTATTGTTGATGGGTGTTTTTTCCATAGACATAGAGAATGGACTGAGCAATACTGTCATGAAATTGACAAAGAGAAAACGAACGTGCGGCCAATACCCGTCTCTTATTCCAATTTGTATTTATAAATGGAATGTAAATAAATTATAATATCATAATGGATGTAAAGTGGTTATACATATCTATCTTCGTTAATCGTATTTCAATTAACATAGAAGACTTCTAGCCGCACAGTCGTTTTGTCTCTCTCTTTTTTTTAACTAACGTCTTGCAAAAAAACAGTCCAACCTCTATGTCTATGGTTTTTCATTGACCACTTAAATTTCATAAATATCATTTTTCTACAATAATTTTATTTATTTAAGGTAATTATAGAGTATCTGGAAACACATTGGCCTGTGATGAATTGTGCTAGATTTTCTGTATATCAACAAAAGAAACGAGAATTGTTATGAAAGGTCTAAAATCACTATTTTCATATAAATTCATATTTCCAGGGTTGATGAAAAAACTGAATCTTGTCTTGAGCAATCAGTTCTCCACTAAATTGTATAAAATGTGCGGTTTTATAAATAAGTTGTAGTATTTATATTTTGTGTTGAAAGGTCGTGTGTTTTAATGTTAACAGAATCGAAATAATAGAGGAATGAATTTCTATTGAGTTTTACTTTTTTGTCCTTCCCGTTTGAATTAGATATGATTAATGATTTGCTTTACCACATTATTTACCTAAAAACGTGTGTGTACTTATGTACGCACGTAAGAAGTTATACTTCATTGTCGTAGCAGAATAAAAATGGCTAGATTTCATCCCGTATGTCACAACTCTCCGTTTCTAAAAGAAAAGCAGCTAACTTCATTATGTCGCTTTTTGGCTGTCGGTGTGCATCGTACAAATTACTCATAATTTATTCCAAACATCCCAAAAGAAGTATAACTTTAGAAAAGGTTTATAAATGGTAACGGCTATATTTTATTCTGGCTCATTAATTAATTACATTATTAATTAACTAGCGACTCACCCTCGCTTCGTTCGGGTTGTCTCTAGCTTGATTCCCCATACAAATTTTATCCCCATTTTCACCCATTTAAGGGATGATTTCCGGGATAAAAAGTATCCTATATCCTTCCCAGGGTCTCAAAATATCTTCTTACCAAATTTCATCTAAATTGGTTCACTAGATCCAGAGACCTATAACCTCACAAACTTAACCTATTATATTAATATTAGTATAGAGTAATTACATTATAACAAAATAAACATATTAACTTTAAAAATATTTCAACAAGCACTTTGATTAAAAATGTTAAGATTATCTTATTACTATTTCAAAACCCAAATTATTAATCTGTATGTTAAATTCAGACTGTATTTAAATAATGTTATTTGAAACTAATATGATTTCCAAGTTAAAATAAAGAAGATGTATTTAAAAACTGATTTATTTAAAGATTTAATATATAATAATTATACATTGCACTTATTACTAAAGAAGACTTTATAGGTGTTATTATAGATAGCTTGTGCTAGTTCATCAATATTTTCCTTCCTTATGGCTGCCAGTATTTCGAGAACTTGCCTACAACAAAAAAGTGAGAATTAAAAAAATAAAATAAGAATATAATCTGTTCAGTATTATTTATTTTTTCACAGAAAAAAATAATTAAAGTTACTTACACAATATTAATTGGTTCATTTCTTCCCTTTACTTGGTTGTCTGAATCCACAGAGTATTTCTCTTTCTTAACAGAGGGAAATTTGGTTATCACATGACTATAACCTGGATGTGTAGGCTTCACTTCACACCAAGGACAGTCCGTTTCAATCATTAATTTATCCTGTGGTATTTTTGCAGCTATCTCAAGATTTTCCTTTGTTCTTAGTGAACTAGAAAAAATGTTAACTGTTACAATTTACATTATTTCTTTGCAGAGATCAAATATGCTTTAAAACATTCATTTTTCATTATTAAAAAATAAATTTACAATATTTTTATTGAGTTTAAGGTTAGACTAGCAACTTAGTATGTTTGATTTTTTTTGAGCAGAACCCTAATTCTTTTTCTCAAATAAAAGTAGCCTAAGTTATTCCCTATAATGTTAGCTATTTGTCAGTGAAAGTTCCATCAAAATCAGTCCAGCCATTTTGGAGATTAGCTGGAACAAATAGACTATTAAAAAAAAATGAGTATTTCGGATAAGTACTATATATAATTTGATATGCATTAAGTAAAAATTTAAAAAAAAAATGACATTACAAACAGACACTTTTAATTTTATTTATCTGTGTAGATAATATTTACCATCCATTAATACCAATATATAAGTCCAACTCAAGTATTTTTTCTAAAGCTTCTTGAGATCCATCAAAAGAATGCACTACACCACCTACTATTTGTTCTTTATTCCTTTTCAATATGTCAACCAAGTCATCTGCAGCAGCTCGGCAATGCAAAAATAATGGCAGATTGAACTCTTTGCTCAATTGTAATTGATATTCAAAGTATCTGAAAATATTTGTAGCATACTTCAGAAAAATTATAAAACCCGATTATTTTATTCAAAATGACAATAATTATACCAAATATACCTTATTAAAAAAGAATATAGTAGTGTTCTACCATTTATATTTTCTGAAATTACCTACAGTATACTTTTGTTTTGCGTTATATAGTTAACTTACTCTAGTTGTATATCCTTTTCACAAAAGTGCAACCTTTCATAATCCAGTCCACACTCGCCAATGGCCACAACTTTGTCCTTATTTTCAGTTATTAATCTTCTTAAATCTTTGAGGTAAGAAGCAGGGTCTGTTACAAAATCGTTACAGCGAGTTGGATGACATCCTACGGTAGAAAATAATCGAGCTGAAAATTACATTACGTTCCACTAACAATTGTTTGAGAATTATAAGTATTTGAAAATTATATTCGTAATAAAGTACTTACAATCCATATGTGATAGATCTATTGCTTTTTTACTATCCACCAAGCTTCCTCCAGTGATGATCATTTTATCCATTCCAGCTGACCAACTGCGATTTAAAACCTTATCTAAATCAGGTTTATGTTTTTTAGAACCATGATATAATCCTTGATACATATCATCAGTTAGATTTGCACCAATATCTAAACAAATAAGCAATAAAAGTTAAATAAGAAATAAATATGAAATAAATACCTCTTAAAATAATGTGAATCATATATTTTTACCAATATATTTTCGAATTGTCGCCATTCTTCTCATAAATGTTGTAGTTGTATTTGTTTCTTAAAAATTTTTTTCAGAATCGTTATAACATAAATTGTTTATAACAGATTTTATTTTATGGTATTTATAAAGCCAACAAACGATATTTCATTAAAGTTCCTAAAATATTAAAAATGTCTGTTCCTGGCATGGATCACTGGATGCGTGGGCCATGGACATGGATGACAATTAAAAGTTTTATTTGTCATCCATGATTAAAAGCCATGGATGACACTGACAGATTTATAATTTATATATGTAGCAATTTATTATATGATGACAGATGACAAATTGTTCCTGATTCAGGTTTGTGATGTCAAATGTCAAATGTGTATGAACTTCATACTATGAAGGGTACAGGTAAGGAGGCTCATCTCAGTGTATTAAAAAGTGTCCGTTGAAAGGGAGCAAATTAAGGTAGCGCTATAGTAGCAAGTGGAAGAATTTTAAAAGGAGCGCCACAAATTATTAGAGTAGGATACTAAATTAAAAAAGGAAAGAAAAAATTCCGCTTCGTTACAGCGCATTTTTTTAAATTATTATAATATATAGACAAACATGAATATGGAATAAAATTATACAGTATTTTTAAGTAGCCCAATTTTTTTTTTTTTTTTTTTTTTTTTTTTTTTTTTTATTTTTTTTTAATTTTGAATTCTGTTTCATGGCAATCTGTTTATAAACAATAAGCCAATCCTGTGTTAGAATTATAATTCTTGTTATGAGATGTTAGTGCAAAGAAGCATCCATTGATGTTTGCCTCGCAGTGTGGCTAGAAGCGATCAATAAGGCTCAATACACTATGTCTTTTCAGACGAAAGAATTGCGCTCTTTCGGCGCCCTGGAGTTCCATCGCTAATTTATTGATGTGTGCTGCCAGACGAATCTGATACTTTTTAATAGAATTTTTGATTTCTTGTTTGACTGTGTTCAATTTTAGATCTATGTGTATATATTTGTTTTTTACAAAGTATGGTATATCTAGCATAGTACGTAGCGTCTTGCTTTGAAATCTTTCTAATATTTCAACGTTGTTGTTACTTGCAGTTCCCCATAATTGGATACCATATGTCCAAATTGGTTTTATAATTGTATTTTTATAAATTAGTATTTTGTTGGTTGGAGATAGCTGTGAGCGTCTTCCAGTTAACCAGTAATAGTTTCTCATCGTAGTGTCGAGTTGTTTCCGCTTGGTCCAAATATGTTTACGCCAGGTGAGTCGTTTGTCAAGGTACATTCCAAGGTATTTGGCATCTTCTGACTGTGGAACTTCAGTATTATTTATTTTAACTGAAGGACAGAGTTGTCTTCTAAGTGTGAATGTTACATGTGTCGATTTGTTTTGGTTTATTTTCATACGCCATTTATCAAACCACTCTTCAACTCTACTGACATGTGCTTGTAGGTTTGCTGATGCTAAGTTAGGATCATGGTGAACAGAAAGCAGCGCTGTATCATCAGCGTAAGTGGCAGTTAAGATGTCATCATGGGTTGGTAGATCAGCCGTATATAGTAAGTATAGAACCGGGCCAAGAATACTCCCTTGTGGTACTCCTGAGAGAGATTCGCACATGTTGGAGGTCTCGGAGTTAACCTTAACTTCAAAACATCTTTTGCCAAGGTATGAATTAAACAGTCTGAAAAAAGGGTGAGGAAGATGTTTTTTTATTTTGAAGAGTAAGCCCTCGTGCCAAACCTTATCAAAGGCCTGTTGTATGTCCAGAAAAACTGCTGAGCAATATTGTTTGTTTTCAAATGCTCTATAAATGGTGTCGACAAGGTGATGAATCTGTTCTATAGTACCGTGTTTTTCCCTAAAACCAAACTGGTGTTGCGGTAGTATACAATCGAGGTAGGGTTTTAGTCTAGTGAGGATTATTTTTTCTAAAACTTTTCCAGGTACTGGTAGAAGGCTAATAGGACGATATGAAGCAGCCTCTTGTGGTGGTTTGCCAGGCTTTGGTATCATTTTCACCTGTGCAATTTTCCATTGACTAGGAAAGACTGGAATTCTAAGGCATGCGTTCAGTATTATAACAAGAAGGACTATACCTTTCCGTGGAAGCTGTTTAAGCAAGGTAGCGTCAATCTGATCGTATCCTGGTGCTTTATTATGTTCTAAGCTCATTAGTATAGATTGTACTTCTTTTAAGTTTGTGGGTTTGAGGGGTAAGCCGAGTTGTAGGGGTGAGTCTAGGTAGTTGCGTATTTCAATATCGTGATCTGGATGAGAACCAGGGAAAGGTTCAAAAACTTTCTGAAGATGTTGTGCAAATACGGCAGCCTTATCCTTGTCGGACCTAGCCCAAAGGCCGAAATTATTCCTAATTGGTGGTGTATGCCGAGTTGGTTTTTTGATTTGTTTAGTAACTTTCCATAGTGAGTGATCTGTTCTTTTAGATGGAGATAGTTTAGATAATTTCTTTTGAAGGTTGTCGTTTATGTAATTGCTTATCATATTCTTGAGGCTTTCAGAGGCTTTATTAAACTCTGTTTTATCGCTAGGGAACCCAGTGTTATGCCAAATTTTTCTAAGTCTTCTTCTTTCCTCTACTTTTTGTTTAATGTATTTTGGATAGTAATGAGAATTTGGAGCGGGGTTTTTATCCATGGGTGTGGAGTTATGTGCTGCTTGGTGAATAAGGATATTAAATTTTTCGATTGCTGATTCTACATCCTCTGTGGTTTTTAGAGAAATCGCTAAGTTAACTCTGTTATTGATGGTATCTTTATATGTGTCCCAATTTGTGTTCTTGTTGTATAATCTTAGCGGATAATCTGTCATGATGACTTTGTAGTCTAAATTTAATATAACAGGTGTGTGGTCTGAGGATAGGTCAACACATGATTCCACAATCATTTGATTAGTTGGAATGCTTTTGGTGATAAAAAAGTCAATTAAGTCTGGCAATTTATTTCTGTCTGCGGGCCAGTGAGTTGGTTCGCCGTGTGATATGCATTGTAAGTTGAGTTCTGTAGATGTTAAGTATAACTGTCTCCCTCTTGGTGAAACAAGTCTTGAGCCCCAAAGTACATGTTTGGCATTCCAGTCACCACCACTTATAAATTTATTTCCCAGAATTGAGAAGTAATCCTTAAAGTCATTTTTAGAAAGAGAGTGTCTTGGTGGACAGTATATAGCTGAAAGTGATAGTTGGGATCCATTATCCAGAATTTTTATCGATGTTGCTTGAATTTTTTCAGTTTTATATTCTTCTAGAGGGTAATGTTTAATGCTAGTTTTAATGATGATAGCTGTACCCCCATGTGAGTTACCTGAGGGGTGATTTGTAGTATATATGTTATAATTTTTAAAAATGACATATAATGCGATGTAAATCTAGTTTCTGATATCAGTGCTATATCAATTTTTTCGGTTTGTAAAAACAATTCAAATTCATGACGACGTTCAGTTAAGCCATTGGCATTCCAAGTCACTATTCTTAATCTTGGAATCATTTTTGCATCATGTGTGTAATTAATTGAATCATTCGATCCATCATGTTGTCCATCATGTTAGTCATGATTGCTTGAAATCTAGTAAACATGCTGTCTATTATTTCTGTAAGGTTATTGAGGTCAGTATTTTTATAATTGGTGGCAGAGAAGTGTTTAGCCTTGGTCGCATCTGCATAGGTCTTATCAGAATTATTTTGTTTATCATTATTGATTTGTTGGTTGGTTGGCTGTTTAGCTGTTAGGTTTTGATTATGTATTGTTTGAATTGTTTTTGTGTCTATTGTTTTAGATTTAACTTTTAAAATGTTTTCTTTATATTGTTTGTACTTTTTGCAGCCTTTGTAGCTTGCTGGATGTTTCTCTAGGCAATTTGCACAAGTTGCTTCAGTGTCTGGAGTTTTGGTACAAATTGTTGTAGGGTGCTCACTACCACATTTTACGCATCTGTACGGTCTATTACAATGGTTTTTAGAATGTCCAAACCTTTGGCATCTTTTGCACTGGAGGATTTCGTTTTTTTTATATGGTGCCTCGAAAGAAACTTTCATGTAATTAAGCTTGGTAATTTTAAATATGTCTTTATTATTTTCTTTTGGTTCGAGATCTACAAAATACAGAGGTAGGGGCTGTTTTGTTGATTTGTGTAGGATATTGTGAATGTTCCTAACGTCGTGGCCAAGTTCTTGAAGTTCTTGTTTAATTTCAGCAGTATTTTCTGATGAGTGTATTCCTCTTAGAACAACTCTGTAAGATCTTTCGCTCTTAAGTTTATATGTGTAATGACTGATGTTATTGTCAATAAAGTTGTCTCTTATTTTCTTATATAGTACCCCAATAAAATAAAATAAATATATAGCAAATACAAAATAGTATTAAATAATAACCGAAATTAAAAAAAAAATTGTAACAAGCAAATTTTCAACCCAACACACTTAACTCTGTTTATAACTGCTAAATTCATATCATTTCCATTTCATACACTAGCGCTATTTCGGTGAGTGTTCGAACAATAATTTGCTGTTTACAAGCGGACACTTTTTTAACTAATCCCCCATACAAGAATGTCCTCCTTACTTCTACCCTCCATACAATGTTGTTCCCGAGCGTGCAAATTACCGACCATATTTTGTGTGGAATAGCAAAAGAAAACTGCATGAAAACTCGAAAACACGCGTTTTCTCAGATATAAGACTAATCTAGATCATACAAATCATCATCAAATTACATGAAAATCGTTGGAACCGTTTCCGAGATTCAGATTACAATAAAAAAAAATAGAATTATTATTCGCCAATAGATCTCAGAAAGGGTAATTTTTTTCATTTTATGTTTAAGTGGCAACATTAGGACTTCGCAACGCCGCCTTTTTATTATATTTTTCCAATAAAAAAAAAGTTTATATTTTGGTTGATTATCGATAAAATTGATTATTGAAAACACGAATAAAACGACATTTTCTAAAAATACCTGGGCCACAGAGCTTCGCTCGAAGTTTTTGATCAAAAGTACAATTTTCTTTTAAAAAAAAA